ATGTCTCAAAAGAAAAGCTTCAGTTTGGTAGGCGGTCATGAATAGGGCTTTCAGGAGAATGCAAACTCTTCCACGTTACAGTGCTAAGTCCTGACTTGCGTGTGTGTGTGTGTCAGGTCTGCCACACTTCTTTGGCATTATGAGAGTACACCTATATTTTTTGCAAGTGAGATGAATTTCTGTTTCTTGTTAACGCACTTTAATGTAATGTGTACATTTATACTTTGATTTTTTTATGCTTTTCTAGTAAACTGTGGCAAATGTAGTGAATAAATATTTGGTTGTCAAAAACTGTGGGTATGAGAAAATAAGCTTAGAAAAAAATAACTGTTAACACCCAGATTTGTAAATTTGGCTTAATTTGCACATGCTCAAATACCTATACAGAAGCAGAATGCTGAGAAGAAACTGGCTGACACTGAACAGACAGGCAGCCAGAATTTAATGGGGGCAAGGGGACTGCTTTTGGCATGACTCAGTAGTTTGGCAAATTCCAAAAGAGAAGTGGGCTCTTGCTGTAAATAATCTGAGAATTATTTTAAAGCATCAACTAATTTAAAATAATGGCTAATAATTTTGTGGTGCTCCATGTATAAATTATTGTTCTTGTCCTCTGAAGAGTGCTTCAAGTTTTGTTTGCAGGTAAAGTTTTATGAACTGCTGACTTACAAAGCCCTAAATGTTCTGAGTACTGACCTGCTAGCAAGCTGTCTTTATTGTCAAGTGATGCTCTTTATAAAGCTCCTAAGAAAATATCGTTTAAGAGTACATTTATGGTGGGGGTTTTTGAATCCTATGGTACCCAGCTAAGACTGGCTCCTCAAGGTATAATCCCAAGGCTACAAACAAGTTAATCAAAATTACAGTCTTTTCAATGTAGTAAGTGCTACATTTTACTATCTAGAACGCTCACACCTCTTTGTGCACTAATTCTAAATATCTCTGCTGAGAAATTTTGAAGAAATCTTCTCTAAACTCAACTTCAGAAGTTTCTCCCTATATTTATACAAAGAAGATCACAGGTGTAGTTTACATAAAACTCCATGTTTGAATAAACATAGAATTACCTTTTTAATGCTAGTTTAGTTAAATTGGTAAGACTAAAGCTGTAATCAAACTCTTTGCTACCCCCCTGGCCAGATCAAGCCATATGCTGCTACAGGAATGAATGTTACTGGGTGGAATTGAAATGACAAGAATTTATTAACACGCAGTCAGCACATCCTTGTGACAAAAAACCACGGAGTTTATCTTTGCCTCTTGTACTCTTTTAAGTCTGAGAGAAAGGAGTCGGGCCATTAGCTGCAGCAGAAAACTGGCATGACCTGAATTGCACAGTGTTGTTCCCTGCTGCTGGACTTGTTGAAGGAAAGTGACCCACCGATAATCTGAAACAATAAACAACTCTGACAATAGCAGAGCCACTGCATATGATAAGATAGCTTTGGAATATATTATTTTAGTAGCCTTCTCAATGCTTCTGGAATCGCAATCATTTTTATGCCAGTAGGAAAAAGGCGTATCTACCACAAAAGTTGGGGCTCTTGAAAGTCTCTTGCTAGTGACAGTCTCTTAAGATCAGCAGTCCTGCATTTGTCTGAGAAAGTATGGAAAGTTAGAAGCACACAGTAAACAGCTACTTACCTCTGGTTAAAAGCTGTTTGTTCCTTGACTAATCTCAATGCCTGCTTCATCATTTCAGCACCATTCAAGCTGTCACCTTTCCTCACTATCCCAGATGACTGCTTTGAAGCAGCAAGAAATGAGGACAGCTCTTGATCTTCTGACTCTTCCATCTACTGCCATTTCAGCAGTTTTAAGCCTCTTACTGGAAAACTCTGAATCCAATGAAGTAGCTTATCTAGATTTTAGTATTTAAAATTCTTAAACAGCAAAAGACTCTTCCTTCTTGCTGAAAGATGTGGCATAAGATCCAGTGGTTGATAATGGCAGACAAACTTAAAATACAGTTTCTTACCAGTAAGAGCAGATATGTTAGGGGTCTTCTTAGAAAAAAGTATGTGCGTGATCTCAAAATACTCTGTAGCGCCGGTTTATCCTTTCCTTTAGGATTACGGGAAGTACCAGCAGCCTTGCATTGCCTTTGTGCCTGTAGTGCTTGCAGCTCTAAACCAAGCTGAGGACTGTAATTAAACTAGATGTTTTGTCTGGTTATGAGATCAGGATTGGACATTTACTTTCTAATGCACAATGTAAGAAAATATTTCTTGTTTTGTTCCACCCTGGACTGGTCACAGCAAAGACCCAAGAGAATAGGGCCTATTGCTTTAGGATTATATACACAATTTCCCCTTTATCCACATTCCTGTTTATTCATTACAGTTACATTTCTGAGACCTAGATCTTATCCATACATTTTGAGTCAAGAATTTCCCCAAAATGAGATTAAGAAAGAATGCTATCTTAGCTAATTTTTTTTTCCCAAACTGCTTATTTCTTTAGAACAGGTTATGTTGTCTGTCTCTCTGCAGCATGCAATGGTTTTTGTCAAAACAACCAAAGCATACCAGTTTTAATAAGAGTAAGCAGGAGAGAGCCACCAATAGTTAAGAAAAAGTCACAAAGTGTTACTCCTTTGCAAACATTTCCTGTTAAAGTTAGAAGGATTTTGCTGTGTAACAGATCCTTAATGAAGATAAGGCCTCTGAGCACTTCCCTGGTACAAAATTACTAAAGGATGCAAATGATTAATATAAATCAGGTTTGTACAGTCACTTAAATCTAAGCATAAATAAACATAAAACACCAATAACTGTAATCTGAATGAACCAGAAGGAGGTGTACTGTTTTTAATGAAGTACTGCACTCTTGAACTGTAAAACCTTTATATTATTAACCTCTCATCCAGTGAATTTTAGAAGTTACTTGGCTGTAGAATTAATTTCAGGTTGGATTACACGTCCTCTCAACTGGATTAATCTAGATTTCTCACCAGGTGGCTCAGCACTATTAAAAACAATACAGTTGTTTGTTTTCACTTGGTATTTTGTACATCAGCTTTTGTAAATCAGTAGCACAGGTGGTATTTTCTACATAAAAACACATAACCAGTTCTAAATGAAAACTCTGAGCATAAATGAAAATATCCAACTTTTAAAGGCTTGCTAGTTAGGAACACAGGGAAATCTTGAACGTTCATATGCCTTCAGATCATTAACAGGCTTTTGAGAATTACACAGCAAAAGTCAGGACTTCTATGATACAGGGTATTGTGGGGAAGGCTCAGTATTCTTGCCTTTTCTTAGCTCCCATAAACTTATCAAGTCTCAATAGCAATTTTCTTCCCATACTTCCTATCATTACAATGTATTACTTGATAAGAAAAAGCATCTGTAAAAATTACTTTTGGGAAAGAACCAATACGCAAACAAATACATTTACCTTTAAAGAGACTAAAGTCACACTTTTCTGTAAGCAAAGCAATTAATTCCTTCTCTTCCTGTATAGCCTAACTGCTGCATTCTGACCATGACTACCAAAATCCTTCAGTGAAAGTTTTAGTACCATGACGATGTCTTCAAAGGTTTGCAACTGAGAGTGCTCACTGTAGGTACAGAAACCTCTTGGGGGGTGGGGGGAAGAAGAAAGAAAGAAGTTACACCAATTAAGCAGTAAGGATTTGTTTAAGTAAGTTACACCAAAGAAGACTTGAAGTTATTATGAATGTATTTACACATTTGTTGAAGTACACAAATACAGTGGTGATACAAATGAAGTGCTCTGAGATACTGGTTTCCAATACACAGGTTTATATAGACAGTCTAAATAATTTCCTCATGATGGAATTTAACTATTAGGAAGGACAAAAACTGCCCACAAGTGAGTACAATTCTAGAAGTCTGCAGTCAACTTTTAAGTATAGTACAGCAATCTAATGTTCCAGATACAGAGAGAATAAAGAGGCTGCCTTTGTAAGCTCCTCTGACAGTACATTATTAACATATTTACAAGGAAAGCACAGTGAAGTGTAAAACTGTTCAAATGGTAGTGCACATGCCTAAAATATTGACGTTCATAGTAACTAAGGAAATAATTCTCTTATGCAAACTTATCCATGGATTGAACTCTTAAGTTTTTTTACTATACTCTCCCCAAACACAAGTTTTCCCAGTCAGACCCAGAGTACACACAAGCAAGTAGCTAATGTTCAGAAAACATCCAAAGAAGAGTGACTAATACCTAATATGTGGACTTTTCAGAGGGGCAAAAAAGAATATGTAAATACAAAAATAACAGAAGTTACTCTTCATAAAACTCTGAAGACAACAGGCCTTCAAAAAAATTGTTTTCAAGCAGGGAAGAATTTCTCAAAATACCTGCCTGTTCAAACAAAACCTCTGCATATACTTTCACTTCCAAGATGGGACTTCCCATCACTTCAGTCATACTATTTTGATACTGTTCCAAGTACTGTGAGGACAGAACACCTACTTTTATATTTTATTGGAACACTTACAGTAACAAACAATATTAAGTATCTCCCATATTCAATAGCCAACAGGTGCTAAAAGCACCTGCAAGCTTTTTGGACAACCTAAGCACGTTGTTGAGTCATTCATTCCTAGCTAATGATATTGGGCATACTCAGGTTGAATACAGTTAAGAATTAAAGATGGTATGCACCTGAACTATATAAAAAAAAAACAACTCAGGATTTCTCCATAAGAATAGTTTGTTGTTGTTGTTGTTTTGGTTTTTTGTGGGGTTTTTTTGGTGGTTTTAATAATTCCTTTTGTGAGTCTTGGCATGAAACAGAAGGCTTGAATCTATTTATTTTTACACATGTAGATGCTGAATGAAACGTGCAAATTCACTGGAGACTCAGTAGCAACATGTATTTTCCACTTGCAATACCCTCCAAGCGAACCAGCCTCAGAGTACAGGAAATAAAGTTTTACGAATAAAACAAATGCTTGAAATTAACCATCTATGCAAGCTAAGCAGAGATACAGGACAAACCTTCAAATTCTAAAGCCCTCAAATGCCAGAATCTTTCACTTTGTCCTTCATATTCTTTACAAAAAAAGAAATCCATTATCACCATCTCTACTATACTTAAGACTCTCCTCTTCTATGGAAAAGAATGAGTATTAACATTTCTTTGTGTTACATGGAGAGTTAACAGTTAAGTGTGAATGAAGACAGCAAACAGCAAAGTAAAACTCGATAGTTTTAAAAATGTCATGGGAAAACCTTCTCAGTCAGAATGGGACCCTACAAATGAGTAAACAGTTTAAATAGTCAGATGGGTTTTGATTCATTTACATGTTCCCTGCCAGACTGATTTTTTTAAACAAGAAATTTCAAGTCATTGTCTTTAGGTTTGTTGATATTCTACATTTTTAAATCAGACAAAAGCAAAAGTTCTTTACAGAGAATTAACCCAATAATTTTAGCAAAATGATACAAAAAGCTTCCTTAAACCAAGTAAAAGATTTATAGTTACAGTAGAATAATAAAAAGGGGGTAAGGTCTGCCGCCTGTGGGGGGAAAACTGAAATGGCCATCTGATAACAGGCGGTCAACTCTGTAAACCATCTTTCTTTTCCAGCCCTGTTACCACAGGGTTCTCTTAAGGTCATTGGGTTTCTGGCAAAAGCGTCCTGTAATGGCAGCTGCTGGAGTCTGTCTATGTTCCTCCAAGTGCCTTTTAAGTCACATGGAGAACTCCAATTATAATGTCTCCACTCTAGTTTAGGATATTCTTGCTAGTAAAGCCATTGGTAACACAGGAGATCAGCCATGCATTATCTGCCCTCCATGGCAAAATAATTTTCATCGGTGCACAGCAGACTGGAGAACACTGGTAGTTACCCGAGCAGGAATCTACCAAAGCCAAAAAACAAGATAACATCAGCACGCATCTTTCCAATTAAAATACAAGCAGCTTTCACTGTACTTTTAAATAATTCAGTGCCAAAAGTAAGCATGTGTATTTAAAATCCAACGAGCTATGCAATGTTTCGCACCCACCTGTAGCTACTGGAAGTTCCCTGTATTTTCCTCCTTTATTAGAAGTTAACATGGAAAAGTCACCTTTCCAGCCAGAGGGGATGTTTTGAAGAAAAGTAAACAGAGCATAAGCATGCACAGAAGAAAGAACAAACCAGATGAAAACACTACCAAGGTGCAGAAATTGACTCAATGATTAATTAAGCTTCAGGGGGAAATAAAAATATCCCAATAAGAGAGTAAAAAAAAAAATAAAAATTTCAATGGCTTTTCATTTTCGATGGGAGATTGTATTAAAGGAGACTTCATTAATTTTCACAGCTAACCTATTTCAGTAAGTGTAACATTACTTCTATAACACTTTCACCATTAAAGTGAAAAACAACCACACCACTGAAATTTAAGAAGCAAGAAATGTCTAAGTAACTAAATCAGTATTCAGTATTATCTTCAGTTGTCAACAGCTACAAATAGTACAGCATACAGTAAAGGCCAACCAATGCAGACACAACCCTGAACAGACCAGAATCTGCACATCTCCTGCATACAAGTTTTCCAATGCAAGACTTCAGGTTTGCCTTAAAATTTTTATTTTTTAATATTTTTTTAAACTCAGGTCTGATAATCGAACTTTAAAAGTGTTAAGCTGCCATTTACAGATGCATTTTTGTAACGTCACAAACTGTTTATGAAGCAGCTTGTGCACAGTCAGCCAAGCACACAAAGCAGAAGAATATGGAAGAGAAACAGCAGGATTCTTCATTAACTAGAGATACAAGATTAGTGCAAGCTTAGGCTTTATAGAGAAAGTAAGGTAGCAGATGCAGTTAAACAACAGAATTTATGAAGAAACAGAAAAATCTCACAGACTTTAATAAGAAGCAAAGCAAAGAAGCTCCTGAAATACTTAGGAAAGCATACTTCAGCCATCAAAGTTCAGATTCCAACTGAAACTTGTTATTCCTGATGAAACCTGTTATTGCCAAAAGCAGAACAGACTAAAAAGCCAATAGCTGCACACAGAAAGGCAGAACCTTCTACTGCACTCAACAGTGGAAAGGAGTTTGAAATACCCAAATCCAAGTCTGTCTACCTCCAAAGATGCTCATGTTCAAACTATTCTAGTTAGTATGTGACTATTTTAAAAATATAGATCTGAATTGATTCAAGTATTTTAAAAATAGCTCGTAAGGAATGGGGAAGAATATAAAACAGTGAAAACCAGATATGGCTGTAGTAGGATGTTCCATTCCTGACAAGACAGAGCCTCATTTGAATAACACAGTCAAATGAGTCTTCATAAAAGTATTTTAGTTCTACGATTCTGAAGCAGATCTGGTTTTGAATGGATGACACGCTGCTGCATGAACATCCCTGGAGTGACAGGTAATTCTCAAACAGCTAAAATTTAGGCTTCGTTATTTTATTGCTGATGCTTCAATGATTTTAGGGACTTTAAAAGTCACTATTTCTGTCAATTCTGCTTAAGTGTCCAATGGAACAGCAGCAATAATTCAGCTTTGGGAAGGGCATTTACTTTAGATTAAAAACAATGCTCCATCAAGCATCTGACTGGAAGGCACAGGTACAACTATAAGATAACATGAGGAGAAGCAGCAAAGTCAGATGTTTCCAGAGACTCTTTTCCCCACCCCATCCAAAGTTTTGGTGTCTAATGAGAAGCACTCACCCAGTGCTGCCTTCCAACGAAAGGAGACGAGCAGCTACTTGCCATGGTGTTCGAAAGGAATGCTATTCTGAGGTAGGGGAAAAGACAGCAATTTGTAACAGTTCCACTGCCCCAATATATAAGATGTCTAACAAATACCCAACCTAAACTTGCAGTACCAAATTTATCTTTTGAGGAGCTCTGATTTCAGACTTCTGCAAGACATTTTATTAAGAGATTTGTAAAAGGAACATTATTCCTCAAAGAAAGCTGATAGGGTCAGAAGAACAATGCAGAGCATGATGCCTATTAAGATAGATATATGAAGAAAGATTTGCTCATAAGGAGATGGAAAATGCAGAGGCACTGGAACTATGTTGCTTTTTCTCCAGGGAAGCAGCACAACACTGAAATTGTTCAGTGCTAGTGTTGACTGCTGTCTTCTAAAAACTTCTCCTTTCAAAAAGACTTAATCAAGTTTGTGCAGCATTCCAATATTTTCTTCCAACTATGGAGAGATTACCTCACCGGTAGGAATTACGCCCAGCTTTAACTGTTGGGTGCTGAACATGCTACCTTCAGGAAAAGAATTAAAACAACTTACTGTACATCATGAACAGTTGGACTGAGCCTTCTGTGAAAGGAAATGAAGGCTACTCACCCATAACTAGGCTCTGGAGATGAACACTGCTTTCAGGATGTAGTCTGTGCAATGTGGACCGACAGAACTGATTCAAAATAGTGTTTACTGGAATATTCATAACCTCGTTTACTAGAATATTCATAACCTCGTTTACTACCTCCTTTACTATGGAGACTTAGTGAACAATTCACTCATAGAGCTTAAGAGCAGAAGAATCTTCTAACAGCTGGTATGATTTTCTGTCCAGCACAGATCACAACTCTTCCTTGCATAGAGACCTATAATTAAGACTTGTTTTAGGCCTGAATACATCACCTAGAAATTAATCCAGTGTTGACGCAAAGGCAAAGGGGACAGATGATCAACTTATTTTAGAAGCTGTTACAGCGGCTGCCTTCACTTAGACCTCTGTTCTGCTTGTCTTTAAATGTCAGAGGTTTTAATTTTAAGCAGTAGTTCTTCACATGTTTTCAGCATAAATGTCTGTTCCAGTTAAAGTAATTGTCTCTAAAATACTACACCAGCTAACTCAAAATGATCTCTTAAGAAAAACTGAAAAATGCTGACTTCAAACTCTTCCATTGTACAATCTGTTTTCTGAAACTCAATTTTTATGGAAGAAGAACCGTTTTCCAACAATTTAACATACTGAGAATTGAACTAATATCCCAGCATCTGTCTCATTAATGACATGAAATAACCTCTTAATTTCTGTTCATTACTGTATCATACATAGATTCAAGGACGAAATTAGGCCCTTTCATTATGATACCATGCTAACCTCTCCAACATCACACCTTAAGTCTCCTCAGTCTTTGCGTACCACAGATATAGTTCCCATGTATAAGACTATGGGCTCCACTCCTTCGTCCTAATCAGGTTGTGAAGTACTGCAGCAGTACACATTTAACTTGACTAGACTTTACGTGACTGCTCAACTCACACTGTTTATTGCTGTCAAGCATCTCATAGCTTGTAAGCTTTCAGCTGTTGCAATCACTTAATATAATTGAAAAGGACGGAATAATACATGCCACATTTACATCATTTTATTAGAAACATTTAAGTGTCATTAACTTTTTTGCAGGCATGCTAGTTGTTACTCCAATAAGTACTCATTATTTAGTGTTACAAAGTGCTAGTCCTTCTAATGAGAATTATTTAGGTACTATGTGGACAATACCTGCAATACCTTGGAGGTCGGGAATATACATAACCTCTCTTTTGCTGTCCTTACAGATTACCATTTTTCCATGACTGTTAAATTTATCTGAGAAGACATATTCTCTGTAAGAGAATTTTGGTTCATATTATCTACATTTCCAGCCTTAGTTTTGAGTTTCAGACTGAACCAATCAGAACTCATTTTGAAAAAAAAAAGATAAAAACGTGGACTAATTTTTAAGAACTCTACTTAGAGGTAAGTAGCTTTCATTATTTCTGTGGGTAACCTCTACGCATTTCTGTTGCTCAGAGTTTAACAAGCAGTAGCCCTTCCTCTAGATGAGGAGAGGTGGAAATACTGGTGCAGTGTTGCCTTAATAAACCAAGGCATCCAAATAAAACAACAGAAGTAATTTATCAAGTTATAAGTAATAGTTTCCAACAAATGTAGTTCTTCGCATAAGACCTTGGTAAATCCACATAGCAAACATTGAAAGCTTTCTGCCAGTACTGTGGTCTAAGCACTTCCTGAAAAAGGAGCAGTGGTAGCATACGTAAGAATTACAAAGGAAACCAACACACTTGGAACGGGCACGAACAGTTGCTGCTCCTTCTACTTCTCCTGAGAAGAAGTGGTATGGAAGATTTTCGGTATTCTTATATCTATCCCATCAAAATTCTGTTAAGTAACCTTGCCACGTGAGTTGGATACTTCAGGTTTTCCTGACTATGAAAAAGGTATAAAGATAATGGGAAACCCATAACTTTACTTGGCAACCTGGTTAACATCTAAAGATAAATTTTGATAATGGAGAAATTGCTTTAACCTTACAAAGAAGATATTAAGAGCAAAAGCTATAAAAACTTGCAACTTGAGACATCCTGCCTTATACAGCGTGAGAACTGGCAAAATGAAAAGTTAATTTTCTCTAATGAGCTCAAGGGGAAGTGTTATAAGGTAAAGTCTAAGGAAATCTCTCTTGCCATCCAAATCCAAGAGGCCCATGGGAAGCTGTTTAAATTCTACTGCAGTCACACACTGTTATTCAGTCACTATGAGTGGACACCAGCAGTGGTTTGCTGCTTGGCAAGAACTAAATGAAGACAACAGATGATGAATGACTAATTCTAACAACTCAGAGAAGATCCCAATTAGGCTGCTATTGGGATTGTAAAGAAGTCAACTGAATGATCCCATACTTGAAGTAGAGTTTTAAAAAGGGTGGCTGTGGAAATGTGCCACTAAGCTACATTGTACTGTTGGCCCCTACCACAAATTACACATCTGGATATTCAAAGACTACTAAAAACACCTCACAGTCCTAGAAAACTTCAGAGTATTTCTATTTTACAAGTTAGGCAGAACTAAAATGCACCTGCAAACCCACCTGGAGTACTCAGACCTTATAATGGTCAGGAAAGTGTCACATGCACACTATCTACGTGTCAGTAATACAGCAAAAAAAGTGAAAGATATACTCTGTCCTAATATAGTTGAGTAACATGGTTGCACTTATTTCTGTTACTTTCATTAATTATTTATCTGACTGGTAACAGAGACAAGGCATCTGAGATTTGATCAGAATGCCAAAAATTAACCATGGGCATGCACACTTTACCAGGAAACCATTTTTACATTTGAGTGAAAATTCAGAAGGAACTTGGCATCACAGCTTCACAGAACAGCCAAGGTCAGAAGGGATCCCTGGATATTATCTAGTCCAATCCCACTACCCAAAGTCCAGTCAATTAGAGAAGGCCAGTCAGGAAATGTCCAGTTGGGTTCCAAGTAATTCAGAAGAGGGAGACTCCACAAATTCTTACGGCAACCTGTTCCAGTCCTTGTCCATCCTCATAGTAAGAAAGTTTTTTCTTATGTCTAAATGGGATTTCTTCAATTTGTGTCCCCTGTTCTATTCACTGGCTATCACTGAGAAGTCTGGCTGTACCTTCTTTACATCCTTCTACCAGGTATTTATGCATATTTAAAAGATCCATATCTATGCGCAGTTCTACCCTCTTTGTCTTCATACTGTTCACAAACTTCAGCCATAAAAGAATTTTCAACATGAGAATTTCTGGTAACAAAAACTGTAATTCCATGAATGATTTAAGCTAGGAAAAACTGTCACCAGAGGCAACACTGAAAACCTCATCTGTCTCCTATACTTGTCCAGTAATTTCTGCTCCTGAACTGTTCATCCCTAGTGCAAACACCAACATTTGTGCAGCTATATGGGGAAACAATTCACTCAGCTTAAAACCAACCGAAAAAATCCCACTTCAATTTGTTGAACAATTTTTCCTCCAATCCAGTTCACCCTCTGTCTTCATTAGATACCTACCTGGCTTCCATCTAAAAGAGTGTTCCCTCTAGTAGTAAGATTTTATATAAAAGAACACATAATATCCAAAATAATTAATTCTGCCAATTAAATAATGAAGCCAGAAGGAATCAAGTCAGTTTTTATCCATATGCTATCTCAACAAGGAATAAAATGAGTCCACAGCAAAAATTATGCAGTTAATTATGCAGTTAACTTCAGCACAGCCTTGAGGTGTGATGGAAAAACCCCTAGGCAACTGCAGCAGTCCTCGTAACAGACTTCTCTCCCAAGAATGTTAGAGTGTGCCTACAGTACAGGTGATTCCCCATCCTGCAGGCAAGACTGAAGATAAGCTGTACAAAGCCAGGCCACACACTAATGAGGACAGGTCTGTGCGAATATGCTGAAAAAGCAATGTTCCAGCTATAGTGTAAGAATTAAAAATATATTTAAACATTGACAATCTCTTTGCTAAGTTACTGTGACCAATGAGGATGCTTTTCAGTGCTGACTATGGCTATGAATCACTGCATCATTCACCCTCCTGCTATCCTCTTCAAATGAGCCTTCTGCCACCTACCCATCATCCACATACGTGGCTTCTTACCTGCTCTGATTTACTGAAATGTTATATTGCAGTACACTTTCACACTTTTCTGTTTTTCATGAACTATTTCCTGTCTATTCCACACCAATAATCTCTGCTCTGTTGATTTGGAAACAAGACACACATCTGTCTCAAACTTATTCTGCTCCCTCATTGACAACAAATATAAGAACTGAGTATTTTATGCTTATTTCTGCCAAAGTAAAAAAAAAAGCACCCCACAATTTTTTCTTTACAGTAGCATACAGCCACATCACAAACATTCAGTTAAAACGTCAGTATTTATATGAGTCAGCATTATCTGTGAAATCAGTATGAAATCACATAAATTAGCTGGTATATTCTTCTGGCAAATTAATTTTATCAAATCATCCTCATTTTTCCATTACACAGCAACCTTTTTTACCTGCGAAGTTGACATGCGAGAGGTATCTTGTCGGCCTGTTAGGTCAGACGACGAGATATTGACTGGGGCACCACGATGCAATCTCATACTCACTTTCCTTTCTCGTTCCATACCAGATACTGGCCGTGGAGAGGTGTTGGCTGTGAGAAAAACTGCATTAGATTCTTATAATGTGAAATGGGATTATAACATGATTGCTGGAAAAATTGCATTCTTGCTGTTTGCATATAGGACTTCCAGAGAGTCAAACAAGAGAAATCAAGGCCTTTGTTTTACATTCACAGAAATCTAAGTAGCAATTGGTAGGTAATGAGTGTATACATTTACCTTTACAGAATCATCAAGGTGGGAAAAGACCTTCAAAATCATCAAGTCCAACCATCTGGCCTACAACCCCTAACCACTAAACCATCTCCTGAAACACCATGTCTACCTGTTTTTTGAAAAGCAGAGGGGAAGAAAAAAACAACCGAAAAACCCCAAACCTGACCAAAGATAAATACCATGCAGGTATCCCAATTCTAACTGCAAAGTTCCAATAACAAGGAACAAACTGCAAATTATAGTAATCTACAAGGTGCCTCTACTCATATATTTGCTTACTTACCAGCATGTGAAGTTGGCGTAAGAGGAGTAGGAGGAGCTACATCTTGCGTTCCTCTCAGCCTGCCAGAAGCAGTGGAGGGTAATCCACGCACAGCTGGATTTCGTGTATGTCTCAGTCTCTCCTCTCGCTCTCGTCTTTCACGTTCAGCATCTTCAGCTGCTCTGCTTGCGCCCTACGGGTCAAGACTAGTGAACAACTTGGGGGATTATTGAGCTTACAACTATATATTCAGATAAAAATATTGAAAATAAAAAACTGGACATCCTGTAAATTGAAATTCGCTAGGGCATTAATGATTTGGCAAAACTTCTTGAGAACTGCCAAAATTTTTTTCATGCAACTGCTAGGGCAGTCTTCAGAATGCTAAAGTACATATATACTGTATGGCAGCTGAATACGCCCTCAACAGTTGCAAATGACCTATGCTGAAGATCACGGTGGGAGAACATAGTAATTCTGCAACCTAGCCTGGCAACTGCCCTGAAGGAAGTATTTCAGAAGCCTTACACATTTAAAAACCTGTAACTTCATCTTAACTTGTCATTCAACCCCCATCTCATGGCTCCCGTTATCTGCTGCTTTTTTAATTTCCTCATCTTTTTTTTTCTAGACAATAGAGCTTCCAGGAGGAAAAAAGCATAACAATCTTACAGGACAAGTTACAATACTCAAAACTGACAATGTAGTAAAAGAAATACCATTAAGGAAAAAAAGAAAGTTTTAGAAAGCTATGTCAGCTACTCACAAATTTCAGCATGTTCCAGTCAAACACATAGTCATAGGAGAACCCCTGCCGGTGGAAGAGGTTTCTGAATAATTGCCTTAGATAGGAATAGTCTGGTTTGTCATCAAAACGCAAAGAACGGCAGAAATTCAAGTAGGTGGCAAATTCGGCTGTAATACAAGAAAGCCTGTTTTTTCCTTCAGCTTCACATTACCTTTTTCTAATTCTGAATCACAAAAAACCCACGACCACCGGAAACCAAACATACAGGCCATCTCCTGACCATAAGGAAAAGAATAATGACTTAACACTAGGAATCACTTGAAGGCAATACTACATACAGCACATCTTACCAAGTCCACCCTGAAAAGGAAATTACTTGTCTATCAATGAGCAGGCAAAGATGCAGCAATAAGAATACCCAGTCTTAAGAGGTCTTTAACCAACAGCTGGGGGTGGAAAGGTGGGGGAGGACAGTTTTAGAACTACAGTTGAGTAGAGTTAATGAATGTAAAGGAATAGGTATGAAACATTTGAAACAGAAGCAAGACAGCAAGTTTTCAAAGGACCCCAACAAAAACTCCAGTTCTCATTATCATACCAACCTGCTAAAGCCAAGCATGGAAAGAACAGAGTCAGAACTCTAAATGAAAGATCAACAAAATTGTCTCATGGTAATTAATATCAACATATTTTATAACAGATTTAAGTGTTACTTTGCAGGGCTCAAAAATGCCTGGTTATTAATCTTGCATAAATACCAAACTGAGAAACAGAACAGCTTTGAGGCATGATGTGAGGGTAATAGGAGGGTTTTTTTTACACCTCTCACAGATGCTGACCACCAACAGGCCAAAACAGATGAACCTGGAAGGACAATTCCCAAGTTAAACCAATACAGTAGGTGAGAGGTGCATCTGACCCCCCAATCCAATTCATCCAAGAAACAGTACCCATATGAAGAAGCAGGTAGTTTCTTAAAAGCTGTTTGTCTCTTAATCAGCCAGCACAGATGCATGCACACACATTACAGTGCAAATCAGACATACCAAGGTACCCTTCAACTTGAGGGCACTGCAGTGATTGCTTACTAATAGTTATGACAAGGGATAATTAGAAATAGTCTGTGCACACAAAGATCCCAGTCTTGAAGGCACAATATCTTTATAACAGATGAGCCTAATCATAGGGATGGGGAAGGAGAAGAAGAAGAAAAAAAAAAAAAAAAAAAAGAGAGAGAGAAGCGAGTAGAATTCAATGTAAAGAGATGAACACATGGGCCTACTGCCACAGAAGAGTAACTTACAAGGATATCCTTTACATAAAACCTCAATGGGTGTAGACATTTTCTTTTCACTGATACGTTCGTATTTCTGCCTCTTTGTTGCTGCTTTCAATCCCTGCCAGGGGAGGGAGCCCAGGTTAAAATACATCAGTACATAGCCCAAGGACTCCAAGTCATCTCTGCGAGATTGCTCTACAACAGCATAAAAAAGTGGACTCATTAGGTTTCATTTTCTACTGGAAAAACAAGACTGTGCAACAAGACTGTCATAAAAACCCTTAGAAAAACAAGAGACAGATGAGAGTTACAATGCTCATGATAAACTCATCCAGTCCAACAAAAAGCCTATCACTCTTTCAGTTATTAAAAAACTGTGCTAATTCCTGAGAATTACAAACTGACAAAATGCCACGCAATCAAGAGATAGGAGACTAAGCATGCTGCATTGTTAGTGACAGAAATAAGGACTGTCTTCTATGCCTCCATACAGGAACACCTACTTCCACTAAAATTGCGTGCATTGACAAGTTTCAAGTTTCTATTTATTGCTTTCCCCAGCTCACCAATTCCAAGATGAGTGTTGATGGATGCGTAACGGGCAGTTCCCGTTAAGTTTTTATTTTCACGGTATGGAATATGTTGGTGAGTTCGAGCATCTCGATACTTCTTTGCTAATCCAAAGTCTATTATGTAGACAAGATTGCCTTTTTTCCCCAGGCCCATTAAGAAGTTATCTGGCTTCACATCTCGGTGGATGAAGTTCTTAGAGTGAATATATTCAATTCGACTAATCTAAATTCAGAGAAGAAAAAAACCAAAACAAAACATCATTGAGAGACTCAGCATACACCGTTTATCTTACAAAAACACTAGCAACACTGCCTTAATGACAAAAGAGGTAAAGAAACTTTCATTGTAAAACTTAAGGGCATTAAGGAGAACATAATTTAGCTGACAACAGATGAACCTTCTCTCCAGCTCTTTCCCTGTGTCTATTTTATATTTGTTTCCAGAAAATTATTGGGGGAATTTCTGTGGTTTTGAGCAGTGCAACACTTTTTTTTTGAAAACAGTGAAGGTCCAGTTTTTAAAAATAAAATTAAGACTTTGTAATCACTTGTGATGTTATGCTGTATATTTACAGAAGCAAAACTAATTTTGAGTCTCTTCTCTAATGACTACAGCCTACTCACCTCTAAATTACAGAAATAAAATACAGAAGCCTATGATCTCTCAAGAAATTTCACTATCTCAACATACTGCGCTATCAAGAGCAACAAAGCAGATTCCTACCATTTGGTCAGCAAGTAACAGGACTGTCTTGAGACTAAATTTCCTTGAACAAAAATTGAAGAGATCTTCAAGACTCGGTCCCAAAAGCTCCATCACCATGACGTTGTAGTCTCCTTCAGCTCCACACCACTTAATTGTGGGAATACCCACTAGAAAAAAAGGTAACAGTTTGTTCAGTACAGCAATTTCATTTATACAGTTCATAAACACAAATCTTCAAGGCTCTTAAGATGAATTCTAAGAGGGTCATTACTGTGAATATTTGTATTTACAGAGAAACTTAATGTTTTATGCTACATTCATCAATTCCAAAATGAAAAGTTTGATAATTTTACAGCAGAAGCAATATAAAACTACATTAACAAATGTCTAAAACCAGCCTTTTTCCTATTCCCCCCAAATATCTCCCCATCTTTGTGCTTAGCTTGTACCTTTGAAGTATTTAGTGTTTTTCCTGGATTTAATGTTAAAACATTTTAGAAGTATTAATACTCATGCAGTCTCCAAAATGGCAATAAGGAGCAAACTGGAAGTGTGAAAATAAAGACACTGACAAACCACTAAATATTTTTACTGAAGAAGGCTTTAGAAATTAACTTCTTGGTTTCAAAGCCTACAAGATCACTGTAAAATACCTCTCTCTTCCATTTCCATTTGCAATGAACTTTCAGGCTTTAAACTTGTTTTTCCTCCAGTTCTACTGCATTTGCTGTTTGGTGAATCCCTAACAAAGCAGCATTGCTTATGAGATGTATCATACAATCAGCTTGAGAGACGCAAAAATAGCCCCACTTCATGGAGAAACTCGGGAAGGTTATTTCAAACAAAACTGTAGAATTGCTCAAGTATTTGGAATTAAACTTGTATGTAGGCAGCCTTAGTAAAAAAGTCAAACACCTTTAAATTTTATGCATTCTGGAAGCAAAATGGCGTACATCCCCCATTTTAAACCTTTACTTCAAATACATTGTTTTTTTCCTGAACTCCTTTCACAGATAAACCCTTATTCAGATGGAAACTTAACCTTCTGCCACCTGCCTCTGTGGCGTCCATCCTCAGAAAGACTCTACCATCACAGCCTTAGTAAGCCCATAAAGGAAGCATCTTACTCTATGAAGGCTATTCAGGTTACATGCAGGTGGCAACGGAAGGAGGTAGGAATTAAAAAGTTACTAAATGCAAATACATCTTATAATCAATTTCTAAATATATGATGACTGTGTTTTGGATACGAGACACAGTGTGGAATACAGCCTTTATGCAAAGAATAGCCCCATTTAGGAAGAATTTAAGGGACTATGAAATACAAGCAAAACATGACTATGAGTTTATGTCCCAAAACTGCATGAAAATCTTGTATTTGTAGAATTCCAAAAGATACCAGTGAATTACCCTAGCAGAGTACCACGCAGTAGCTACAAAGTTGCTTCATTCCCATTCCATACTACCAGTGCCATTTTGTCTTGGAATTCCCACAGAAAGGAAGTATATTTAACCCAAAGGACAGAATATAACAAAAATTAACCTCAATTTACTAAGTTTATAAGTGTGCTACTATAGCAAGCAAATTGTGTTTAATGTTCCAGGAAAGTGGAACCATTTTCACTGACCCATTAGAAACATAAGTCAATCAGTACACTGCCAGATGGGACTCAACTTTCTTCCACATTGCTTGAGGTTTTAACATTTTAATCTCAGGAGACCATGAGCAACACTGGAAAATCTTAGGAGTTATCATTAAGTTTCTCAGCCGTGGACTGGGAGTCACTACTCTACACTGCTTGCAGAAGAGCCGAGGTACTGTTCATCACCTACCCTGCCCTATTTCCCACCTTATCCTTATACGCCAAAAGAAATCTTAACCATTAAGTACTTGCAGGTGGCAGATACATCACAAAAATAAAATTGTTTCCATTTCTGAAGAAGGAAATTAATTTGCTTGCCTCCACCCTGCATCATTTTGTAGATTTTACTCTCGATGTGAAGCTGAGGATGTTTGGTTTTCACACATTCCAACTTAATTGCAACCTCCTCTCCGGCAGCAATATCGGTTCCTAAAACCAGAAGAATTTTAAACATTGGTCAAAATACTTTTAATATTTCCTTTGTCAAGACTGAGACAAAACAATTATTGACAAACTACTTCTCGAGGCAAACACCCAAAGATTATTAAGTATTTTCAGCCATGTTAATCTAAAAATTATTCTGAAGTCTTACAGATAAGAGACAACTATTAGACATTGCAGTACAGGAAGCCAAAACTGCTGCTATTCCATTGCAAAAAAATACCAGTGCATCCTCTGAGGGGTGTTTTTCCCCACCCAGTTTGTGGTGGAAGTGCTCAGATTGTTTACAGGTGTGGCATGTACCCCTGCCAACCTAAGAAATGCTAGGAATTCAGATCACCTCCTCTTACACCTTGGAAGCAAGAGAGTACAACTTGCCAAAATGTCAATGTACTCCAGATGTATTCTGACACCTTATAATTGTACTTGGTTGGGAGGCAGATTATCTAGAATCAATAAATTGTTCTCTCAAAATACTTCTTAAAAATCTCATTAAATTCTTGTTGCAGGAATCAAGTGACTGAAAAGCTGGCTTACCTGTTTAAGCTTTCAAGTTTAAACATATGTAGGGGAAATATAACATTCTTAAAAAAGAAACACCAAGTCAAGAAAATACATACTCTCACAGCCAAGCAACTTGGGAAAAGAGGAATTGGCAAAAGATGTGTAACACTTTTTAGACATAACATGGAGTTGCTCTAATCTCAGAATCTAGCTTTCTCTTTTCTGCATTACCTCATGGTTTAGGATCACATGAAGTTCATCACCTGCTGTTTGTTCTGATCCCCACTCTTGAAAGCTTAACCTGAGGTCTGGTGATTTTTGTTTGGAAGGAAACAATAAACCAATCATTTTGTACTCACTTTCTCCCTGATGCTCAGGATTTCATAGACTTCCATGAACTTCTACCCTACCTCAGTTTCCCTTAACTCTTTCCAGAGTTCAAAAACTCTCTTCATTCTTTCTATAGAATTCATTTTTATTACCCCTAATTATTCCCCATTTGATTTACCTGTACCTTTTCCACTGCTGTAGTGCCCTTTTTGAATCACAAAGCAATTAAGACAGAGATACACCACTGTGATTTTTTTCTGCTTATTTTTTTCCATATATTTTTCTCTAAGCATTACAGAGTATTGGACATTTTCACCAAACTATTACAACTGCAATTAATAAGCCTGAAATTAAGGAGCTACTTCAATGCTTTATAGCCTTTTTCCTACAAAGTCAGGCTAATAACCCACACTTCAAAATGGGAACAGCTCTTCACTATGCAAGGAAACAATGTGTGGATTTATTTATGAGTTCACACAAGACTATGTATTTATTTTTTAGGTTAATAAAGTGTCTTTTTCTGTGCACACACATATGGCTATTAAGATGGTGCTGCTGGTACAGCAAGTTCTGAGTGAACAGTAGGGTTGATATTTATTAGGCATTTCACAAAGCACCTTAAGAAAGCAAACCACCAGAAGCTCACTCTAGGTACAAACGGCACAACTCAAGGTAAACAACTGGAAGACACACAAAAAAATAAGGCTGCCCATATATCTGTCTCATATGACTCCTTTGTAACTGGCATAATAAGTGGCAGGATCCTCAATTGTCACAGTGCAGCAAAAGCAACTGAAAGTCTTCAATCTGTCATCTAAGGTTTTAACATTTTACAAATACATTATTTTTGTGGATTTTCAGTGCACATCAATCCACAAATGTGAAAGGACAGATCAACGATAGGAGGAAGGCATTATCTTCTGATCTAATACTGACCTCCCCACCCCAAACAAATAAAAATATTTTATTTAATCTCATTCCTAAGAAAAATATATACATAACACAAAAATCATTAAAACAAAGGGACTGCCATACCTTTGTGACTCATATCTATCTTATCTCATGGACCCAGCAACAAAACAAATACTTTCTCTTCTTCCCCCCACCTCCCTCCTTGTCTCTTGCCCATCTTTTATACTATTTATAGTATTTGTAAATCCATTTTTCAGATCTTCCTCTAGAGGGTGACTTCAAAAGATGCAGGTATGCTACAGCTCTAAATTTTATTTTAAGTTGTCCATACTACTTTATTTAGAATAGTGCCATACATTTCAAAACCCTGTCCCACAGACAACCTAAGCAAGCAAAGCTGGGCCATTCCACATTCTAGAAAACACATTTTGAAGTATGTGGGAGAACAGGAAGGAAACTATGATAAGAACAAGAGTCAGTGGCACCATATTCCAAAGAACTGACTGAAAGAAGGTCCCTCCTCTCTAACTCTGCAATGTTTTCAACACCCTTGCAGCTGCATTTTTTAAAAATCTGGAGAACTGGAAACAGGCAAAAATACTTTCGTTTTCAAAGCATAAAACTGAGCTGGAAATCTACACTGAGGTAATTTACAAATACACTAAGGGCTGTCAGAAGGTGTACGTACTTAAAAAAATTGTGACTTCTGAAAGTATTAAAAAAGTTATTTTAAGGCACTTATATACTACTGTACAGTCTGAACAACCAAGGAGAAACTTGGTTTTTTTATAAAAAGTCACATTTCATTATCATAAAAAGCATGGATTTTTAATACCTCTGTTTTGCCAGATAATGGTGGACAAACCAAATGGGCCTCTAGGAAAGGCTTTGGTTCCTGAGAGACAGTAATATCCCCTGGAAAAAGAAACCTGTGCCATTAGCTGAATCTTCCAGGCCTGTAACTCTCTGCTAGTCACTGGCTCACACATGACATTTGCAGTAAGCCCTAAAAGTAAATCTGTGCCGGCTACTTAAGAGATAAAGAGGTAAAAGACTGAGGATGAGGAGTTATTGTGCAAAATGCAGCATGACAGTGGTACTACTATACAAAGAGCTATTAATTCCTGTGCAACTTTACTGGTGTGGCCTGTACACATTAAGATAAAAGTGATTAATTAAAAATATTTATTTTACTTCAACTTTAATTTGATACCATAATATAAACTGACATACCTGAGCAGTAGTCAAATGCTGAAGTAGGATTTTTTAAAATAATCCAAGATATTTCAGATTTTAACTGCTGTCTCAATCTCCATCCAAAATCCTAACGGTAGCTCAAGAAGATTTTTGAACAAGCATTGCCAGTATCTTTCTCACAATGGTACTGCATCTTTTATGCAAGCATTGCAGAGAGAAAGAATCATGCTTTCTTCCTCTAGACAAACATATGCCTTCAGCTAGAAACACAGGTTTTTCATCAGGCAGACGATTTATACTATAGATAACCAGCATTTTATTATCTGTTAACAGCTTTATCTAAGAAATTATTTTGCAATGCCAGCTGTGCACTGCAACACGAAGTACCGCTGTCTAGGAAGAAAAAACCCACCTCTCTTACTGTGTACGCTGCCAAACATACCACATACATTAGCTAGTGACGTTGTTTTTCTAAGCTACCACAATTTTTAAATACAGAGTAATAATTTGTATGTGACAGGATATAAAACTTATATTTCTCTGGATTTAACCCATTTCTTACAGCTTGATACTTTGCAGAATATATTATTTTAAAAACACTTGCTTTCAAAACTTGTTGTACCTACCACTGCTCGTCATACTCATCAGCAGTGAGACATTATGATAGAGGGCTACAAATATGGACAGGCAAAGACAATGCCAATCCTGCAAAATTTATAATTGCACGGAAATCCCAGTAGCACAATAAGGCACTGGGGCAACATTCAAGCAACAGGACAGATAAACTATCAGGATCCGCTGAAGGATGTGAGCGCTTTTCTAACTGCAACCTAGTCATCCGTAGCAGTGCATATTTTTCTTAGGCCTCACAAGAGAACCAAACATCCCTGTAACAGCAATTTTTCCTAATACGCTGCAGTGATATTTAATCCTGATGCACATGTTTCTTTCCCAAAACATTCTTCTGGATCCAGCGGTTGGCTTTTGTTTCCCACATTTGGAGGCGATTTATACCCTGATCCCCTTTTTACAGATGAGAAGATTACGGGTGCCCAAGGTCACAAGACAACAATGGGAAGTGTCAGCTAAATAAATAAAAATTCCTGATTTCCGCAATGTCCAAATTAGGACAGGATGCCAACGAAATATTAAATTGCTATTGCTGTGCTTCTAGCGAGGTACTTCATATGAAAGCGCGTAACTTGGACGGCAGCTCAGCCTGAGCTCCAGCCGGGGTGAAATAAGGTCCCGGAGGTTGCCCCTGGGCCAGTCACGCCGGGGGCCGGGCCGGGCACAGCAGCG